TCAAACAGAAAGTCTGAATGTAGAACTCAGAAAGGTAGGAAAGGTAAATAAAGGTTGGGTGACAAGTATAAATAACTAGGGTGGAGCAGACAGCTGGAGGAATAAAAAAGTAACGGATGCCAAAGCTAGACACATGGTAAATAGTACTATCAAAAGAGGAAATAATAAAAAAAAAAACCTCAATAAATCCTTACACTGCGTTCAGCAGTGAAACACAATTACATGTTCTAACAGCTGCTTTCTTTCGTGCTATCCCGAAGAGCTAAAGACGGTAAGATGGAGCTCGACTTTGAGACCGATCCGAATGACATTCGTTTGCCTGAGATTCAGATCGAAGAGTTGAAGAAGGGGCTGAAGAATAGCGGATCCTTGAGAACTGAGCAGAACATCCCAGACATGCATTACAGTCTCAGGGTGAGTGGGTAAAAAAACACTTTACTATCTGTTATTATGTTAGAGCCTCTGTGGTCCATAATATTAATATTTGTCAGGGCTTGTTTAGGAGGATTTTAGTGTTAAAGGTTGTGATCAGGGTTAGAGAAAAATTCAGGGTGTAGTGGTTGTGGTTTACGTGTGGCTTTAGCCATACAAGTGCTGTGTGTGTTGGGGGCTGGGTGTAAGAGTGTCTTCCACTTTTTGGCAGACACTGAGTACCTCCACACTACTGTAGACAAACTGTCAACCTTGTGGTTTTGTAGTAACACTGCCCCAGTTTCATTAAAAAAAATTGGTTTTTTGCAGGTTTTATAATTCGCAAATTCTAAGAGTTCACTTTTTGTTTGTAAATCAATTTTTTTTCATGTTTCAAGATTAAAAAATAAACCCGCTGGTGAAAAATGTGCGTTCACGAGTGGATTTCAACCGACAAAAGAGTATTTCATATTTAGCGTTTTCCGTTTTAAGCCTCGCTTATTTTCTTTTTTTTTCACCTTGTCCGTTTTATTTGCTTGCATGTTTATCGCAGGCCTACCTCAGTATCCTGTATCTGAAGCCGAGGACACAGATCATACTGAGGGGGAAGAAGATTCAGGCCAAACTGGTAGCGAAGAGGCTGATACACATTGAGCATGACGTCTACAAACCCCACTTCAGTGTATCCTTACGCTATGATGTTCGATGTTTGTTGATCATGGTGTGACGCAATTGGTGGCTG